GATACAGGCCAGCCAAAGCCTCCTCTTAGAATCTGGGGATACTGGGCATGGTGACACTTGCCTACAGTTCCAGCTACTTGGGGGGCTGAGGTGTGAGGATCACCAAGCCCAGAAGTTCGAGGTTCAATAAGCCAAGATTGTGTACTACTTTCTAGCCTGAGTGACAAAGCAAAGACCCTGTCTCAAAAAAAGAAGGGAGAGGAGAGGAGAGGAGAGGAGGGAAAGGGAAGGAAAGGGAGGGGAGGGGAGGGGAGGGGTGGGGGGAGAAGAGAGGAGGAGGTGGGGGAGAGGAGGAGGTGGGGGAGAGGAGGAGGTGGGGGAGGGGAGGAGGTGGGGGGAGGGGAGGAGGTAGGGGGAGGGGAGGAGGTAGGGGGAGGGGAGGGGAAGGGAGGGAGGGAGGGGAGGGGAGGGGGTGGGAGCGGAGGGGGATAAATCTGGAGATACTAACTGCAGTTCTCTGTTTTCTTTCCTGGGCAAATTACATCCATTAAGACATCAGCTAACTTTCCCAATTTTGTTTTGTTTCTTATTAAAAAGTGGAACAAGGTCTAACAGTTGTGAAAGAATCTAAGCATAATTTTCTTAAAGGCTTTTACGTTTTTTTTCTTTGATTTTTCACAACCATGTGACCCACATCCTCATGGCAATTTTTTTATCAAATTTGCCCTAAGCATTCAAATTAATTTTTCTTAGAACAATTTCTTTTCATACTTCATGGGTTTAGTAAATATCTCATTAAATTACATAATTACAATAATAAGTAAAACAGGCATTAACCAGTGAGGAACAAACCCAAATGATTCTTGGTAGGTCTGCAGCTCAGTTGGGGGCAGCAGAGGCACAGGTGCCCTGAAGTGGCCCATTGGTCTCATGCAGTCAGTGAGGACCATGGCTCTACTGAGGAAACTTAAAATGTCAGTTCATCAGGAGAGCTAGTTAGGAGAGTTTCAACTATACTGATAAACAGAATCAACAAACCTTCACTTATCTTTTAAGCCTTGACTATAATTTGGGTGGCATTTTGAGTGCATTAAAAAACACAATTTTTGAGCCATTCATTTAAAATACAGGAATCTACTTTAGGGTCACTAAAGTCTGTCTATGCACCTAAAGCATTTTATTTAAAACTTCATAAAGCAATTGCCTGAACCCAGGAGGTGGAGGTTGCGGTGAGCCGAGATCGCGCCATTGCACTCCAGCCTGGGTAACAAGAGGGAAACTCCGTCTCAAAAAAAAAAAAAAAAAAAAAAAAAAACTTCATAAAGCATGAGATAAGTTAAAAAAAAAAAAAAAAGAAAAACAAAACCCATAAACGTAAGATTCACATACCAATGAATAAGCATTAGTGTCTGCAGAAAGTGGTCCCACAAACCTCTGTGAAAAATGCCTTTGTCTGGCAACAAAAGCCAAAATAGACAAATGGGACCTAATCAAACTCAACGGCTTCTGCACGGCAAAAAAAACAGTCACTAGAGTGAATCGGCAACCAACAGAATGGGAAAAAATTTTTGCAGTTTACCCATCTGACAAAGGGCTGATATCCAGAATTACAAAGAACTCAAACAGATTTACAAGAAAAAACAAACAAGCCCATCCAAAAATGGGCAAAGGATATGAACAGACACTTCACAAAAGGACATACATGAGGCCATCAAACATATGAAAAAATGCTCATCATCACTGGTCATTAGAGAGATGCAAATCAAAACCACATTGAGATACCATCTCACGCCAGTTAGAATGGCGATCATTAAGAAATCTGGAGACAACAGATGCTGGAGAGGATGTGGAGAAATAGGAAACTTTTACACTGTTGGTGGGAGTGTAAATTAGTTCAACCATTGTGGAAGACAGTGTGGCGATTCCTCAAGGACCTAGAAATAGAAATTCCATTTGACCCCACAATCCCATTACTGGGTATATATCCAAAGGACTATAAATCGTTCTACTATAAGGACACATGCATACGAATGTTCATTGCAGCACTATTTACAGTAACAAAGACATGGAACCAACCCAAATGCCCGTCGATGATAGACTGGTCTGGGAAAATGTGGCACATATACACCATGGAATATTATGCAGCAATAAAAAATAATGAGTTCGTGTCCTTTGTAGGGACATGGATGAATCTGGAGAACATCATTCTCAGCAAACTGACACAAGAACAGAAAATGAAACACCGCATATTCTCACTCATAGGCGGGTGATGAACAATGAGAACACATGGACACAGGGAAGGGAGTACTACACAATGGGGGGAATAGGGGATGGACAGCGGGGTGGGGAGCTGGGGAGGGATAGCATGGGGAGAAATGCCAAATGTGGGTGAGGGGGTGGAAGGCAGCAAAATACACTGCCATGTGTGTACCTATGCAACTATCTTACATGTTCTGCACATGTACCCCAAAACCTAAAATGCAATAAAATTAAAAATTTTTTTTTAAAAAAAGAAAAATGCCTTTGTCATGAGCTGTGCCTCCACCAGCAACAGCAACAACTAACCCTCACCTAGTAGTCCCTAAGTGCCAGGCACTGTTCTAAGCAGTTTACATGTATGAACTCATCATCATGCTATCAATCTCATGATGTATGATTATTATCCTCATATTACAAATGAGAAATGGAGGCACAGAGTATTAACTTGCCCAAGTTATCCAGCTACTACATGGCACGGCTGGGAGGTGAATTCAGGCAGCCTGGCTCGTAATCACTATGTTACAGGGCAAAGGCACAGCTGACAGAAGGTAACTTCTAGTGATGCTTCACCCTGAACGTCATCTGTCAGCTGTGACAGGAAGTGACAGCCATTCACTTTCCTAGGCAGGAGACACTCAATCATCACCCTATGCTCAAGGATGTGGAAAGCACCCAGTGTTACAGGTCTGTTTCCACCTCATTCCATTATCTCACTTTGAGGGCAGATGACGCGCCTTAGGTATGAAAACCTGGCATACAAATCGTCCCCCAAACACGTTCTTACGATGAAAGGCAAAAGGAGCAATGGGTCCCCAGTCAAGAGACCTGGGTGTGTGTTTCAACTCAGCCACACGCTTGCTATGTGATCTTGAGTAAGCCACTTAACCTCTGTAAGCCTCAGCATTTTAGAATGAAGGGAGGCTCTCAGTGGTTTTCTGACACTTTTCGGAGCACAGATCCCTTTCTTTACTGAGAAGCCCAATACTTTGAAACAGAGGAAACCAGTGGTCCTCTAGCTGCAGGTACCCAGGGAAGGCAGCCCCACCGTGCCTCCCGACTGGCTCCTCCCCCTCCCCTGGGTGCTGGAAAATGACTGGGACTCAGTCAGATGACACAGGGCACACCAAGCAGACAGGCACATGGTGAGAAGACGTTCTAGGGTGACGAGGAAGGCACAGAATGGCCAGACCACAGAGGCTCACAAAGTGCAAATACCAGGAAGCAGCTGCCCAAGGAAGAGACTAAAATCGTATCGTTGAGAACCTCAAATATCAGACCAAGGTGACAACCTCAAATATCAGACCAAGGAGCTTGGAGCTACACCTGCAGGCTGAGGGCTACTAGTGATGCTTCTGGTGTAGGGCGATGACACAATCAGAGCTGTCTGAAGAGAGAAAACAGCAGAAAGCAGATGGATGGGAGAAGAGCAGGACCAAGAGGGTGGGGCTGTGGCCACAAGCTGGGATGAGGAAGGAAGGCAGGGCCCACCACAGTGATCACCCTCACAAGTGCTGGTCTTCTGAGGTCTCAGTACCCCTGCCATTCAGCTCCAATATAACCTATGCTACAACTTGGATGAATCTTGAAAATATTATGCTAAGTAAAAGAAGCCAGACACAAAGGTATGTACGGTGCCATTAATACAAAATTTCCACAATAAACAAATTCATAAAACAGGGGCAGTGGCTCATGTAGTCCCAGCACTTCAGGAAGCCAAGGTGGGATTGCTTGAGCCCAGAAAACCAGCCTGTGCTAGAGAGAGAGACCCCTATCTCTATGAAAATAATTAAAATATTAGCCAGCCATGGTGGTACACACCTGTAGTCCCAGCTACTCCAGAAGCTGAGGTAGGAGGATAGCTAGAGCCCAGGAGTTTAAGGCTGCAGTGAGGTCTGATCACACAACTTTACCCCAGCCTGGGTAACAGAGCAAGACCTTGTCTCAAAAAAAAAAAAAAATCCTTAGAGGCAGGAAGTTGATTAGGAGTTGCCTACAGTTGACAGGTTGGTAGATGAGAAAGGGTTGGGGGAAATGAGAAGGAATTGTTAATGTACTTAATTTATTTTTGGATAGATGAAAACATTTAAAAACTGATTGTGGTGATGGTAACACAAATTTGTGAATATACTAAAAATCACTGAATTGTACATTTTAAATGGGTGAATTGTATGGTGTGTGAATTGTATCTCAATAAAACTCTTCTTTAGAAAAACAACAACAATAAGCCGAGCATAGTGGCACATGCCTGTAGTCCCAGCTACTCAACAGGCTAAGGCAGGAGGACCACTTGAGCCCAGGACTCAAGACAAGCCTGGGCAATACAGCAAGAACCCATCTCATAAAAAACAAACAAAAATCAACCCACCTCTACTCTCACTAGGCCGTGCACAAATGGAGAGTAGAAACCCAGAGCAAAGGACCTGGCCAGCCTAGTGTCATGGAGAGGAGGCTAGGCCCTAGGCACAAGAAGCCCCAGCTCTGCAGCCTGAAAGAACTGTGACCTCAGACACATATTGTCCTTCAGCCAGTTTCGGTCTCTGTAAAATTTCAGCCATATGACCTACTTCACAGAGTCAAGCAATTAAATTAAACCATAGGGTGAAAATGTTTGGCATAGTGTCAGACATAGAATAAGCATGTAACACAAGCTAAAACCACAATGATCTACGGGAAAGCATGATGTAAACAACAAAGGCCTTCCTAAGTGTAAGATGGTTTTATAACTTCATTTATAAAATTACAACATACATTATCAGAAACAACCCATTTTCAATTTCATATGCTGCTTTCCAAAGACTCACTTGAGCTCATTGCCCCACTGTTTCAAAGAGTAAAAATTAATGGAATTTGGATGTCCTGGGGCTGGCTGATTTGCAGCTTGTTCTCCCACCAGCTCTCCAGGTACAGTTTCCACAGCCAGGACATTTCTGGCTTTTTCTGCAGAAGCATTTGGGTGTGGGTAAATTAAATCTGAAAAAAAAAAAAAAAAAAAAAAAAAAGGCAAATAAATGTCAGTTACTCAAAGCTTCCACACAAAACTTGACATGCTACATAAAACACTGACTTGATATACTATACAAAAACCTAAACTATGTAATAGTCTATTTTTAATGTACACTACCTACAAACAAAATCTGTGGGTAACTCTGGTGTTCCAAAACCATTTTCATCTAAATAGATCCATGTTTCTCAAAGTAAGATTGTAACATGCTTCAAACCGCCAGATATTAACAGTGTTCGCTCAGAGAAAGCGAAGGCTAGAATTTTCCTCCAGGATTGCAGAACAATAACCCTCACCATAAACCTGTCATCAAAGTCCAATCACCTGTACTGATAAGAAACAATTTCCGGGATAAACTGTTAGGCAAGCAGAGCAAAGTGCAGATGAGACTAAACAAGGCTCCCTTTTCTCAAAGAAAGTAGAAGAAATACAAATACAAATGTATTTGCTAATACTTGTAAAGAGTGACACTGAAAAAATATCAAGTTTGCACATCAAAGAAGAGCAGTCCAGTAAATTCACAAGCAAACAGTGATGCTAAAGCATGATGAAGCATCACAACACATCTTTAAAATGTAAGTGTTTAAAATATTCGAGGTGGAAATAATATGATATTTAGGATTTACTTCAAAATAACAATATTTTGTTTTTAACAAATACATACTAATATTTGCTTCACGTAACATGTTATTTGCTTCAAAATATCAAAGCGGTTTATCAATGAAACAAGAGGGGTAGTAATTATTGTTGACACCACCCAATAAAACTGGAGGTAACATTATGTTATTCTTTGTATATGTTTAAAATTTCCCAGAATAAAAAGTTACTTAAAAATTTTTTTTTACAAAACCATTTCTTTTTTTTTTTTTCTCTCGGAGCTGGAATTTAACTCTTGTTGCCAGGCTGGAGTGCTGTGGCACAGTCTCAGCTCACTGCAACCTCCTCCTCCTGGTTTCAAGTGATTCTCCTGCCTCAGCTTCCCAAGTAGCTGGGATTACAGGTGCCCGCCACCATGCCCAGCTAATTTTTGTATTTTTGGTAGAGACGGGGTTTCACCATGTTGGCCAGGCTGGTCACAAACTCCTGACCCCAGGTGATCCACCCACCTCAGCCTCTCAAAGTGCTGGGATTACCGGTGTGAGCCACCATGCCTGGCCAATAAAAACATTTCTAACTAGGAATACTTTGTATTCTTCCAAATGACATAATCTGCACTGGTGTTTCAGTGGTAGAATTCTCACCTGCCATATGACATAATCTCTCTGAGATAGGACATACTTAAACAGAATTTAATATTACAACAATCAATTTGATCTACACTTCTTTTTGTTTTTTTTTTTTTTTTTTTGAGACGGAGTTTCGCTCTTGTTACCCAGGCTGGAGTGCAATGGCGCAATCTCGGCTCACCGCAACCTCCGCCCCCTGGGTTCAGGCAATTCTCCTGCCTCAGCCTCCTGAGTAGCTGGGATTACAGGCACGCACCACCATGCCCAGCTAATTTTTTGTAATTTTTAGTAGAGACGGGGTTTCACCATGTTGACCAGGATGGTCTCGATCTGTTGACCTCGTGATCCACCCGCCTCGGCCTCCCAAAGTGCTGGGATTACAGGCTTGAGCCACCGCGCCCGGCCCATTCTACACTTCTTTTTAATGTATCTCTGTATCAACAAAATCAACCAACTCTTTCTGCGAAATCAGAATTGACTGCTGACCATTGATATTCAAGAAAAATTATTTTCTTTTTTTTTTGAGCCAGGGTCTCTGTGGACACAGCTCACTGCAGCCTCAACTTCCCAGGCTTGTGTAATCCTCTCACCTCAGCATCCCAAGTAGCTGGGACTACTGGAATGCACCACCATGCCCAGCTAATTTTTGTTTTGTTTTTTGTAGAGACGGTTTTGCCATGTTGTCTAGGCTAGTCTTGAATGCCTAGGCTCAAGCGATCCTTCCACCTTGGCCTCCCAAAGTGCTGGGATTATAGGCGTTAAGCCACTGCACCCAAGAAAAATTCGTTTCTAATCAGATGAGCACACAATCAGAGTCAAGAGGACAGGCCTTTGTAGAGGTCACTGAGCACTGGCAAAGAAAGCAGAAAGCAGGGAGTACTGGGCTGCACCGGCTTGGAAATCAACATCCTGAACGCTGTATGATGGGCCTGCACTGTGTAGGCGGGTTCTGACTTGACTGACCACAGTCAGTGGAGGAAGGGCTTCAAGAACACACTGGGAAAGTATCTTGGGCGTGCCATGAGTAAACAACCTCTGTGTATCTATCAGGGTAATTAGGCTCTGGCCGGGAGAGCCATGGCTTAACGTGGGTTCTGACTAGGAAAAGCAAGACGGTGTGCTGAGAACAGAAGAATTACAAGCTTGGTAACAGAGTACCCACTTTTTTTTTTCTTTTTAAGAATGGGTCTCAAACTGAGGGTTGGACTGCGGTGGTGTGACCACAGCTCACTGCAGCCTCTTGAGTCAAGAGGCAAGAAGGTACAAATGACTACAAATTGCCAGTTCTTGGTTTTACTATCATGTATCAAGCACGAGGCACTGAGGGCACAACCACCAATGAGACAGTGCTTTCCCTGTAAACTAAAACACATCCAGGAGAGAGACATAAGTAAAATAGTAACATGTCAAGCTCCAAGTCACCACAGAATAAATACATTCAGTCCTTGGGATCCAGATCTTTCCTCTGATGGGTCTTAGGGTTCCAGGAGATGCCTAGGGGACTTCTAGAAGAAGAGGATGGCAATGGGGGGGGGGGGTCCCACGCTCAGCTTCAGCCTCAGCAGTTCCTCTGGCGTTCCCTTTAAGATTTTATTTGGAAAAGAAGTTCCAGTAAACAAAAGGAAAAAAAGTTCAAACACCACTAATCCAGCCCAGTTATCTGTCAGGACACTAGAGTCCAGAGCCAGGGCCAGAACCCGGACTCCTGCCCCTGCAGAATATAAATATTGCCAAGGCAGGTAGAGATGAGTACACCTACCAGAGGAGGGCATGGTGCTGGGAGTTGCGGGGGTGCTCAATGTTGGTGAGTGTGTCAGTCTACGGGCATACGGGGTACAGGTGCAGCTCAAACTCCTTTACTTCAAAGGCTGGTCTTACGATCATCATCACAATTCTAAGCCAAGTCAGGAAATAAACACAACAAAGTGTACACATTTCTGTTACAGGCTGAGTCCAGCCTCTCCTTCCTGTGTGGGCTAGTAGCAAGGTGATGAATGGTCCCTCTGCAAAATTGATTGTCAAATGCTCATGTGGCGAAGTGCCTATTACCAAGAAAACCCCAGGCCATGCAGCAACCCACAGCCCATACTGGAAATACTTCCTGAGGAACTCAGAGGCCCCGGGGAGGGGTGGAGAAAAGGGACCGGAGACCAGGGAGGAACATGTTGGAGGACAATTTCTAAAAGTAATTATCTGATTTGAAAAAGCAGCTCTTCTCCAGCTTAATACATTTTTGCTGTTACTGCTACTTTTGTCTGGTTTTTGTTTTTTAAGAGACCATGTGAGATTTACTTAATTAAAAGCAGAGCTGCTGGCTTCTCCTCAATACATGTCCTAACATTAGCATGCAGGAACTGCCTCAAGAAGGACATTAAGGGAAAACACAAACTAGGACATGGCAACACTTCCCCGAAGATTTTAAGAGGCTGGACTGGTGTCAATGAAATGTCTTCTGTCTCACAGCTACAGTGGGGAAAGAAGGTCTGTGCCTGATGGTTTTTGTGTTTAGATCTCTGTTCTTTTTAAACATTTTCAAATGCCTACATCACAACTCTGTGGGAGTTTCTGACTGCACTGTTCCCATTTCCTAGTTCTGATTCCAGCACCGCCTCTAAATCCAGTGTGACCCTGGGCAGTCTCAGCCTCCCTTGTCTCCAAGATCCCTTCCCACTTTCTGCATTCTAACACGTGATGCTCAAAGTCTCCTCCTAACGGGACTCCCTGCACAGGGGTGGCTCCTGCCTACTTCTGGACTGCCTCAGTGAGGCTCCATCTCCTCTCCTGCCGTCTCAGGTGCTCCGCCAGCAACCTCTGCAGAGTACAGAACTGTGTACAGTGGGAGAATTCTCATAAAACCCAACCCAGGCCTGAGGCTGCATCCAAGAAAGGAGGAAAGAGGGCTGGGAAAGGGTTGCCCCATATGAATCAAAGGACACAGCAAACAGAAGTCTGGGCGTGAACACTGGGAGGTGGAAGAAGACAGGGTGGGCTTCATCTGAAAAAAAATTTATTTATCAATGTGAGTTTTAATACTTATTGTGAAGGAGCAGTCAGGAGGAGTAGAAATATCTCACAGGTGAGGACACCGTGTACACCCAAGCACCAAAAAGGAGAGGCGGCAAGCCACCGGGTCCTGAGAGGCCCCAGGATGGGCCAGTCCATATGTCCGGTCCCCTACCCCTACCAAGGACACAAATCTGTGAGAACTGAACCCCTATATGATTTGCTAACAGCTGCATATCCAACACCCAGCATAGAGGAGCGACATAATACATATTGGTTAAATGACCAAATGAATCCATAAAAGACAGGAACTTGCTAACATGGCACAGGAGGAAAGGCCTTCTGTGGGCTGAAACAACAGGGCAGAAGGCAGCAAAGGCCCCTGCAGTTCTTGAATGGGTTTATACTCATCATCCCTCCTGACTTCCCTCTCTCCTCCACCTTGCCTCCAACAGACTCCCTGAATTGGGATGTGGGGTCACCTCTTTTCCTTTCCACCCCTCCCTGTTCTCCTGCCATCTGGCTCAGCCACCATCCCATTCACAGCCACATCAACCCCTACGCTCACCTGCATCAAGTCCCACCAAATCTAGGATGAGGATGTCTCTGCTGGCACCAAACTCCAAGCCTGGTCCAGACAGTCTCCTTTCCCACCCTCTCCAGCAGGATCCTCCCAGACAGAACTGCCACTCAGCAACTCCCTCCCATCCCGCTCCCACAGTCACATTCTTTCACAATTTCATAGAATCTTCAAAGCAGAAGGAACCTGGTTTAGAGAGCATCTTGCTTCACAGATGGGGAAACCATGATGTGCTCAAGGTCCCACAAGCTCTCTCCATGCTGCCTCTCAGACACAACACTGGTAACTATCGTGACTGATACCTCACACGAACTTATGGCATTCTGCAGCATTTTACAAGGATTACACAAAAGCATAGCTTCCTTGATCTCTGTATGGAATCACAACACTAAAAGATGATATGTAACTCCTATGGCACTGTCTACGCGGGGCCTGCATTCCACCTGATGGCTTTCCTTCTGGCAGCCCTCTACACCCTGCATCAAGAGCACAACCCAGGCTGCCTGAGGACTCAAAGTTGCAGCTACCCCTCCCACGCCATCCCCATGCACACAAGCTGTTAAGGTTGTAACAGTTCAACTACCTAATAATGCAGCTGCTTCAGGGGAGGAAAGGTGTGGTCATCCCTTAAACTGTCTTCGCAATACAATTTTCTGCAAGAAATATCATCCATATTCAAACAGGCACTTGGGCATTTGAGCCTGCTACGACCTTGAGTGCTTTAGTACTCATGAACTTTCAAGAAGTCTTAAAAAAAAAAAAAGCAGAGCCTTGTTAAACCTGGCTTGTTTTCTTACTAGTTATGTGGGGAATAAAGTAAACAGAATGTACTAGACACACATCCTGTAATGAGGCTATCAGCCTTATGGGTATTCCCTTTGGGTTCTAGCTACCTCATTATCAACAGCTATAAAGGTTTGTGGACCCCTGATTGTATCTTTATGCAAATTATTCGTTTGTGTTGAAACTAGATCCTTATCTTTTCAAACACAGAAGAGGATGTGGAATGGTATTTGAGGCGTGGCATGCCTTCAGAGGCTACAGAAGGCAGACAGAACAGATATTGACTAATAATAAAGCTGCAAATTCCTGGGACTTGGGAACACAGGGAAGTCTCTTATTCAACATAGATTCTAGAAAAAAAAAATTAATGTAAGCAATTAGACAACAGTGCCAGCTCCTTAATGAACATTCAATCCAGCTTTTCCTTACGTCCAGACCTTGGTTTTGATCGTGGTTATAAGCTCAGCTAAAATACTTGGCTTCGCAGATTTCTTCCAGTCAGGAATGGCCGTGTGACAGTTCCAGCTAATGATACATAAGCCACAGGTTTGTGAGAAAGCATTCCCCTTTTTGATGTAGGTGACACCTCCAGGGGCAGCTAGCATAAGCAGGAAAGCTAATACACTCCAGCGATGGAAAACAGAGTCAGAGATAGCTTGGGCTGCTCTGCCATATAACAACACAATTTATCTTTGAACTAGATTTTATCTCTGATGATAAAACAAAAGGGGCTAAAATACAGCCTTTTCTTCTTGACTTCCTGATTTAGATTTTTTGACTCCCTATTATACTCTCACATATTGCTCAGCGGCCCAGAGTTTCATTATTTGATCTTAGAAGCTATCTAAAAATTAATAGAAATCTAAAGTTGCAGTCATTTCTATCTACAAAATCTTCAGAGGCACTCCACTGCTCTTAGGACAAAGTCCAAAATCCCAAGGCCAGCTGTCAAGTCTCTCCCGGCCCTAGCTCTGGGCCCCAGTGTGCCCCCAGGTTCAGCTGGCTCCCCACAACTGCTTCCAGCCGGCAGCCATCCTGACTGCAGCTCTGGGAAGGCATGCAGTCCAGCCCTCTCATCTGACTCCCCTCCTCTCTACCTAATTCCTGGCCATCCTCCAGGCCTTGGCTTCGATGCTCTTCCTCAGAGAGGCCCTAACTGCCAGAAGATGTGCACAGTCCACTCACAGCCCATGGTACCAGCATGCACCCTTCCCTCACATTTCTCTCATTTCTCCTCTGCAAAACCACCTTGCTTGACTAGAAATTCTGTGAGGAGAGGGACCAAGCTCATCTTGAGTGTCTACCTCGCTGAATAAATGAGTAAATGTCAGATGGCATTTACTCAAATACTCAATTCCACACCAGGAGTCCCCAAACCAAAGGAAGAGAAACAAACACGGGCTTCAGATGTTTTCTCTGGCTCTCCAACCACAGCATTTTGGCTTAGAAGCAGGAAGGGCAGGTGTGACAAAGAGATTATAGGGCTGGGCACCACTTCGTTGTCCTCCTTTCGGTTTAACATCCCTGAATCTTTGCTAGAAAGAAGCACTTTGTGTCCTTAGAACACAGGAACTGAGGCAAACTGAGTACCTCCTGTGCCAAAGGCACTGGCTATGCTCATGAACGCTGCCTGTTCCCACAGGGTTTCCAAATGCTCCAAGTGACTCCGACACCCAGTTAGGAGCTCCTTCTGATGAAAAGCACTATTAATAGTGGCTTTCAAAACAACTCAATTACCAATGACTCGACCCTGAACTAAATATAAGGGGACACAAAGTTGAAAATAAAGGCATAATCTCAGAACTTGGGATAGTCTGAGGGCTAAGACAGTCATGAAAGTGACCTAAGAACTCTCACAGAAAATATATCAATAGGCACAAAGTATATACAGTAATTTCTCACTTATAAGAGGGTAACCTGCTGAAAGATACCAGGACAAGTAAATACAAGATTGGCAAATTTGGAGATGAAAACTTTGTCTAAGAAGGCATTTGTTTCTGGAGAAATCAGCCCCATGTGTGCCAACGCCATCGTTGGTGGGACAGGAAACTTGGATACAGCCCTGTGTTCTGCTGAGCAGAAGGTCCCATGGGTTTTACAAAGTGCAGACAACATCACTTTATGAAAGCATTAGAACTAGTCCTTACTGTGTCTACTCCTTTTAATGTGCACTCCATGGGTCTTTCAAAAATACTAGTACAATGGCCTGGCCTTTTAGACCCTACTTTGGAACTCAGGAGGCTGTTTTTTTTTTTTTCCTGGATGTGTTCTTTTCCCTGTATGGAGAGGAGGGCCAAAAAAGAGTCCCATTGGGGGACTGTGTTAACTTCTCTTCCCAAGTCCACAAGGGGCGTGGTTTCAAAGGCAGAAATTTCCCAGCGACATGCCCGACCTTTCTTCATTCACATCTGCACTCAGGAACTAGAGTTGTCTAACTTGCGAGCGCTCAGGCTAGGTAGATTGCCCAGGTGGGCTTCCTTTGTTTATAAAGCCCATGAAAAGCTCTGGGAGGACTGTGGGGCTGGCGGCCAATGCGATATCAAAGCCAAAGATCAATCACTCCAGCAGCAGTTTGAAGGAACTCCTCTCATGGGACAAGAACTTGAATGGGGCAGGAGTAACTCCCAGATTAAAAGTCCCTTGCCCCTTACCTGTGCAGACTCCATCTCTGGATGCCCTCCCACGACAGCATGGGAGCTTGCTCTCTCTCTCTCTGCCTAATAAATCACTTTTCTACAAAGCTTTTTGAATCCGTTATTTACTTGAACAATATCACTGCGCTGCCTGGGTCTCCTCCCCATTCTTGGGTGAGTGAGAGACCAAGGACCTGGAAAAAACACATCCAATCGGAGAACAGTGAGCATCATTGAAAGCCCCTGCAGCTCTGCTCCTGTCCCTGATTATACCATCTTCACAGTCTTTGCAGGGGGGTGGGATGAGCAGCAAATAATTGTTGTCCTGTTCTTACTAGAGGTTATCTCTACGCTGTAAATGGCCAGGGAAGACCATGAGTTATAGAAATGCCATGAATCCAGAATAGAATGAAATCAGTATCTGAAGGTTAAAGTCTTGCTGGGAAACACTAGAGAATTACAAGTGGAATGTTTTGAGAACACCTTCCTAGTGTATACAAACACCTGTCAGCCCTGGCAAGTCTGCCCAGGCATGACTATTTAGGCCTGAGGACTTCATCGTTAGGCGTGGTAGAAAGGCTGGTCCCACAGTCAGACCTAGGCTTACAGCAGCACCACTTGCTACATGCTGACCTTAGTCATATCACCTTTTCCATATGCTTGGCATGGGCCTTGTCTGATTCCAAGGCCGTCACTGGGCTTGCATAAGCTTCGTACATGGAGGTGCTGGGCAACTGTGGAATGCTGTCCATCATTATTACTTTCTTTCTGAATTCATTTTCATTCACTGCTAAGTTAATGTGTGGTATCAACTGGCTTACACAAAGAACTGACACAGCTCCCCTTTATTTTTGCCTTACCGGTGTTATCTCTGGCTACAAGACCCTTAGGAAAATCCCCAGGAGTTGGAGAGGTCCCGCTGTCCCACTTGACCATGTCAAGACTGTTACAATATTCCCATCTCTTCTGCTGAAGCTCCTGCAACCAGTAAGTCATGAGCTGGCGATTGGGAGCCTAGAAAGAGAAAGGAGGAAAAACATGTTATGGGCACCAGTAAGATGAAGAGCTTAAAAACTGTATGTCTCATGAGTACAAACTGTTCACCTTGCCCTGTGAGAGTTAAGATGAACAGATCAAGGAAATCTCAGTTACAAGAATAGCAGCTTTTGCTCATGATGAGTTGGTCAAGCAAACAGCAATTGTAACATAAAGAACTGAACCCAATTAAAAAGTCTTTTTAAATTCTAAAATTAAAGAATAATGCAGTGTAACATTTTCCTCAAAACAGTTTAGGAAGGTGTGATAATACTGCTGCTCCTTCACTATGACCACCCATAAATCCCATCTTCGGAAATAAAATCTTACATAGGTCTAAACGACAGAGTTGCCAAATCACATGAAATAATGGTATTTAAGCTCCGTCAGCATCTGAGGATATATAAAGAAAACCACAGATTAAAACCTAGCTGGCACTCCTATTAGAATGGCTAATATTTCAAAAAGTTGACAACGCCAAGTGCTGACAAGGGTGCAGGGCAGCTAGAACTGCATAAGCTGCTGGCGGAATGCAGCATGGTGCAGCTACTTTAGAAGACAGCTTAGCAGTTCCTTATAAAGTTAAACATGGCCGGGCGCGGTGGCTCACGCCTGTAATCCCAGCACTTTGGGAGGCCGAGGCGGGTGGATCACAAGGTCAAGAGATTGAGACCATCCTGGTCAACATGGTGAAACCCCGTCTCTTCTAAAAACACAGAAAATCAGCTGGGCATGGTGGCGCATGCCTGTAATCCCAGCTACTCAGGAGGCTGAGGCAGGAGAATTGCCTGAACCCAGGAGGCAGAGGTTGTGGTGAGCCGAGATCGCACCATTGCACTCCAGCCTGGGTAACAAGAGTGAAACTCCATCTCAAAAAAAATAAATAAATAAATAAATAAAAATAAAGTTAAACATACATTTACCAACCGACCTGGCAAGCCACCCCTACATATAGCCACCCAAGACGAATGAAAACATATTTGCACAAAGACCTGTATGTGAATATTTATAGAGGTTTTATTCATAATTGCCAAAAAAAGAGAACTTCATCTGGTGAAAGGCTTAAAAAAAAAAACTGTGGTACATCCATACAATAAAATACTATCAGCAATAAAAAGGAGCACATTATCAATTCCTACACATGGATAAATATTAAATGCATATTGCTAAGTGAAAGAACCCAGACCCAAAAGGCTATATACTGTATGCTGCCATTTATGTAACAGCCTAAAAAGGCAAAATTGTAAGGACAAAAAACAAACCTGTGCTTGCCAGGGCTTGCTGGGGAGGGGAGGAGCTGACTACAAAGGGGCAGCATGAGAATTTGTGGGTAACAGAACTGTTCTGCATCATGGCTCTGGTGGTAAAATCACGATTCTATGCATTTGTCCAAAATCATAGAATGATATATATAAAGAGTGAATCTCATTAAAAAAAAAAATCAACCAAGATCGGGGAGGGGACCCAAAACAATGAACCTAACTATAAACAAACTGGACTGCAGGAATGGGTCATGGTCTCCAGGCTACCCCTGCAAAGGAGTCCCATGAAGGAAGGCTGCCATGACAGGATTATGGGAATCTCATCGACACTGGCATTCAGTGACATGTACAGACACCATACATACTGGTTCCCAAGATCCGAGGCAGTGAAGAAAATGGCTCTGCAGGCCTGACAGCAAGAGATAGGCCTAGACCAAACTACTACTACCTACAAGCAAACCTCTGGGTGCCGTGGCTATAACCTGGGTCTTTTTAGTGACACTTGCACACCTGGCCCCAGATAAAGAAAAGCGTTCATTACAGGATCTTTGGATATTTTACAGAAAGTTCTTCCAACTATCAGTCAAGCTGCCATTTCACCCATTCCTTCAACCAACATTTGCCGAGCACCTGTGAGGTACCTGGACCTGGGGCTGGACTAGTGAGAAAGCCGGGAAAACCAACCCGTAGTTTCCATGCTGCATTAAGTGCTACGACAGAAAGCAGAGCCTGTGAGGCAGGGCTGGCATGACAGGAGAGCACTGAGGAAGGACACACAGCCAAGGAGGGGAGGTGCAGCAAAGGACAAGGTACTCAAAGTTCAGGACACCTGCCACATGCAGGGTCAAAAGCGTCAAAGTATTCGCTTGCTGTCTATCTTCTCCAAGAAACAAACTCCAAGATGTTCCATTTCTCTAGCATCTAGCTCTGTGTCAGGCACATAGCAGGGCAGTATTTACTGAATACATATATGAAGGAATAAGTGAATTCATCAGAAAATGATACAGGAGCCTGGTCTTAAAGGGGAAGCAGGCAGTGGCCAGAGGAAAAGAAGTTCAGAAAGAGAGAAGAATGTCTACAAAAGTGCAAAAGCCAGACAGCAGGAGTAAGGTGAGGCTGGTGTGTGGCAAGGACCTGGCCCTGAAGGGACTTGTGTGCCTTCCTAAAGAGGTGTAATGGGGAACTTAGCAGGGCACTAACATTATCAGACAAGGGCACCGCTGGTAAATGGTGGTGAGGAGAAGGCAGGTGCACAGTTTGCATAGAAGGAGGAGATTAGCTCAGGCCAGAGGCCGTGAGCCCACTTGAGAGATCCACGAACTGCAGCATGGAGTTTGGGCGGCAGGCTGGTTGCAGGGTAGACACGGGAGCTTAGCCTGGCCCTGGGGCAGGACAAAGAGCACACAAGCATTCCCACGGGAGGAGAGAGGAGAGTCACCAGGCAAGTTAGGAACTGAGAGATACAATCACAGCCAAATTCAGAGCCCAAAGCCCACCCAAGCCTCCCTGTTTTTTTGCAGATGAGAGGACAGAGGCCCAGAAAGGAAAGTGACTTGCCTAGGTCATACAGGGAGTCAATACTGTGAGCCTACTCTGCCAACCCTCCCACCGCCCCTTAGAGGCAAGTGTGTGTTTTTGTTGGGGAATGTGTGTGTCTGGTCCTCCTACCAGCTCCCTGACTACCTGGCCCCTCCATCCCCATGCCAGGGGTGGGCTGGGAGCCTTCTGCTCTAGCCAGGGAAGTGCCCATACACTTGCTCTACTTCCTGTCGTTCAGCCTGCACACGCGGCTGTGTTTCTATTTATGCTTGGGAGCCACAGGCTGCTCGGAGAAGCTGGCACACACTCACTACGGCAGATCTGAACCAACCTCTCCAGCTGCCTCTGACAATGCAGGCACCCGGAAAAATCTGCTTTTTATAAGAAATCCTTTCCCTTTAAATCTCTGAGTATTAAATCTAACAATTAATGACCTCTGAGTCATCTCTCACTAAATTCCCCAGGCAAAACTTTTAGATCACATGATATTATATCATACTGCAGAACTCTGGTCAATAGGCAGTTAATCAAGACACTGATTAACTGGGTTCATTTCCTTCCAAAAAAAAACTAGACGGCCGGGCATGGTGGCTCATGCCTGTAATCCCAGTACTTTGGGAGGCCAGGGCAGGCGTTACCTGAGGTCAGGAGTTCGAGACCAGCCTGGCCAACAGGGTGAAACCCCGTCTCTACTAAAAATATTTTTTAAATTAGCCGGGCGTCTGTAATCCCAGCTACTCAGCTCAGGCCTAATTAAATGTATAATCACAAACTAGCCTCTTCATCATCCCAGTGCCAATAAATTAGTCCAGATCTGCCCTGTCCAACACAGTAGCCACTAGCCATTAGTGACTATTGAGCATGTGAAAGGTGGTCAGTGCCACATGATAAAATCTTTTGGATACACTGACTCAAATAAAATAGTATTAAAATTAATTTCATCAGTTTAGAGTGGCTAAAACTTCTAAAGTATATATGTGGTTCACATCATATCTTTACTGAACAGTGATGGTCTATACCACAATGGCAAATATATTCCATTTTAAGAGCCAGGATTGGTGGGAGATTTGGCTTGGCAGGAAACAGCACTTCGGAATTATAATGTAGGCCAAGAGCATGGGGCCCATAGGTGTGTGGGGCAACCAACACCACTGCCCTTCCATAGCACCTTATAACTCAAGATAACTTCTCTCTTTAAATAGGTGCCTCCATAGCTCCAACCACCCCATGGTCCATTAAAGTCCAAAGAGAGGCCAACATTCTCGAGGAACCCAGGCATCTGTGCGAGACACCTGGTTGACTCCTGGGAACTGGAGGAGATCTGCTTAATTCCTACTTCTGAGATACTCACAACAAGCAAACATTTTCCTTTATGTCAAGAATAAAGGACACGGCTTTCGTGCCTCTATTCAGCGCTCCCAAAGTGGGCTAAGTAGGACCTTTGAGTGATCTGGCTGTACCTTGCTGGGTCTATCACCACGAGTTTCCTCCTGTGAGCATCAGCTCAACTGTGACAATGAGCCAGTCAGTACAGAAGCTTACCGCCACAATCACACAGCACTCACCAAAGACACCCGCCAGAGGGGTGAGGACTGGGAAAGGATCACCATCTGCCCCCCTACCCCTCAGAATAACCATTTGAAATGCTGTGGTCCCAAGTTCTGGAGAACCAGACAGGCATTCCACTTATGCTAGAAGGAACAGTGACAAGGCAGAGCTCCACAGATCAGCAGAGAATTGGGAGCCGATGCCAGGCAAGCACTCAACAAGGAGCCAGGAGTCAGCATGTGCTGTCTGATGGCTCACCCAGTCCATCTCCTGAGTCTCCCCTAACACCAGTCTCTCCAGCTCCTTCCTACTCACCCTTCAAGGTCCAATGCAAAGGCCACCTTTTCAGAGCAGGTTTCCCTGACCTGGGTGTGCATTTTCTCTTCATTCTCTGAATAGGGAGTTCAGAGAACCTTATAGCCCAGGTAGCCTTACCATGGGGATGAGAACACTCCCTGGGTGTTCCTCACTAACCTAAGTTCCAGAGACCTGCTGGTCTCAACATGATCCAAGATGCCTTGCACAGTGCCTTGAATATAGTTCAACACTCAAATATCTGACTCCTCCTCTCATGTTCAATTGTTGCTACTTCCTCAACACTGCTAAAATCCCAGGTCAAATATGGCACCG